TTTTATCTGAGCATGAGGCAGTGGTGTTTTTGCATCTAACACCAGGTTTTAGCAGCATCCCTGGGTGCTGCTTACTGATTAACCAAGCAGTCATTACACATCGTTTGCCTTCTGCACCCAGCACATTGCTGTAGGGAGTAAGCTTCACAGTCAGCTCACTCAACAGTATTTCCACATGCATTCCAGTCCAAGATACAGATGGATAACCAAATATCCTTCTGCATCCATGGCAACATCCAAACAGGCTGTATTTGAACAAATGCACTGGGAACAGACTGGAGGGGATAGGCAGTGAGGAAATGAGCTGGAGATACATAACAGACTGGAGAGAGTGAAGGAAAGGAAGATCTGAGCTTGAGAAATGCCAGAAACCAGTACAAGAACAGCTGTGGTGCAGGAGGAACAGCCTGGCTATGTGCAGTTCCCACCTGTTGGCCACTTTTAACAGGAAGGGGCAGCAGAGTGGCCCAGGCACTGCCTCACACTGTCACCTGCTGCACTGGAGAAACATCATTCATCCCACCAGCCAGCCACCAAGGAGAGAAGGAGAACCATCTCTGAGCATCATCTGGGTCAGCATACATTCTGCAGGGAAGCAAGACTGCAAGGAAACTTCCCTCTCCTCCTACCTGGATCATTTTTCTATGAGAAAAGAAAGGACAAGGTATGAGCTACTGCCTCCCTTCTCAGCCTTGTGCGGCACATCAAGGAATTGGGGCTGAAACTCTTCAAGAATGGGACATCAAACAGAAGAGCACTGGCTGCTGCAGGCAGCTTCTGGGACAGCCAGCAGTTTGTGTTGCAGGCTCTGTCATCACAGCTTCCTGAACAAGCGTCTATACTTTGAGGTAGGTTTATCATGCTTTTTGAGGAACAAAGCAGCTCAGGGGTGGTAGAGAAGACAGACCATGACAAGTACAAGAAAACTTTGCCCAAGGAACTCAAGAAAGTAATACAACTCTGTTATTTGGTTATCCTTCTGTATCTCTGACTGGAATGCACCTGGAAATCCTGTTGAGTTAGAAGAAGGAATGAGGCCAGAACTGTTCAATTGCAGGTGCTAGATTTACCTTGCTGTAGCTTGTACTTCAAAACTGATTTGAAAATGCTTCAAAGCTCTTAGGTGACACTGTGGCGGGATGTAGGGGAATAGAATAACACATTCTGTGTAACCTGACTTGCTTCTGCCCCAATAAATCTGTGGAGCAGATGTTCCTGTGGAGCACTGCAATGAGGGGTCATAAAAAGCAGAATCTGTCCCTTTTCTAAATCCACTGATCTTGGCACCAGTCTGAGACTGCCCTACAAAGCCACAGACTTCATTAGTAGAAATACACAGAAGCCAGAGGAAATAACTCACACCTGCACAGTCACAGATAAACCAAAGCAGATCATTAGCACCTGCCAGCTTTGCACCTGTTGGCCAACTTGAGATCCTCCCATTTTTTTGATATTCACAGATCCCACCAGGGCTGCAGAGCAGAGCTCTGGGTCACTGCCAGAAGAGCTGACTGCTGCTCCTTGTTGTGCTGCAATGTACAAAGCCTTCAAGGGATGAGCACTTCACTGCTCAGCTTTTGTCGGACTGCTTGTGTTACATCACGGTTCTGGAGCAGAAGGCTTCATGCTGTTTCTGCCCATTGAGTGCAGTGAGACACTAGAGATGGCTCAGAGTTGGGCAGCACACAGAGCACTATCTTGTTTGTACACACAGAAAGAAAACAAGTGTGAGAAGGATGAGGATGATCCACCAGTAATGTGCCATCCGGGATCTAATCTCTTTGAAACTTCCCTGTCTATGAAACAACAGCACGTTCCTCTTCAGCTGCTGAACCCAAGACAGTTTCCAGCTTCAGGAGTATAAGAGAGAAATTCTCGTTCAACACTTTGAACCTCAAGTATGAAACACATATATAATCTATTGTCTGAGATTCCCAACTTGCTTCACTGATAGCATTGTTTTGCTTCAAGGTAAGAAAGTATTAGCCAGAGAACTTGAGAGGCTTTCTCAAGGTCACCTAAAGGAACAACAGAACTGGAAACAAGCTGGATTCGGAGCTTTAAAGACTGCAGTGCAAATACATCGAGAGGTTAGAGCTCCCAACAAAGGCCCACTGCACTGTATGTACACAGCAAAGGTCAACCGGGAGAAAAGAGCACCCAGCTGGCCTGGGCAGGGAGGCAGCAGCACTGAGATAAAGCAGCTTAGGGATCTGCCCAAGGTAACCCAGCACATCAGCAGCAGATAAGGAATCTGAGACAAGTCAAGACCCTGATGTCCCAATCCAAGTCCTATAGTCTCTTGATTTTTACAGCACCTCCCCACCAATGCTTAAAACTTGGCTAGCAGAATGTATGGGAACTGCTGAGTCCCAGCCTGAAGCACTGATTGAGCACCTGGGGAAAGGAGCCAGTCAGCCCTGGGAGTACAGGTGAAGGCAATTCAGCTGTATGACTGGAAGGGGTGGAGCCTGGCTGCACCCCTCTTAGATCTCATCTAAGGGCAGGCTGGCACTGGGGAAGGATCTCTCTCTGGAGATCCCTCCTTGATGAAGCTTTCCTCTGCAAACCAACAATCTTCTGATACAGGTGAGCAATCTTCTGCCCTTCCTTTATAGCAGCTCTCTATTGTGCTGGTCCTTCCATCATCACACCTTTGTTGTAATGCCTTTCCCATTGTGCTGATCTATACAATTACCACACAGAACTTCAGGACAATTCCTGCTGTTCTTCCAGAAAGCTCCAATTCAACAGATTATGAGATGCCACCAAGGGTTCCAGAAGAGACCCAAGGAAGGGATAGATAAAACACTGCTTTCCTATTTCAGCTCTGGAGGTATCACAGTATGACAATCTCTTAAGACAGCTGACATTTGCCTAATTTACAGATTAACCAGAACTTTAATAGTTTCTATTGTTGAATGCTGTCTACAAGAAAGCTTCAGAGCAACCACTCTACACCAACAGAGCTCAGCTCCCTGCCTTGAGCAGGCAGTATCCTTCGTTCTTTCATTTCTCTCCCTGTAGCGTGACTCATTCAGGCACTAAATTTGCATTTAATTCCACCAGTGCTTTGAGGAAAGGGTGTATGTGAAAGGCAGCATGCAAACCAAGATGCATTGCAAATCAATTTTAAACCAGGAAAGGTTTGGAGGAAGCATCATCTCAAACCACTGAAGCTTTTAGTGCTGTCGTGCTACACCTAGAAGCAGGAAGGACTCTGGGCAGCCTGGTCTAGTGGCTGGTGACCCTGCCTGTGGTGGGGAGTTGAACCTAGATGGTCATTGTGGTCCTTTTCAACTCAGACCATTCCATGATTCTATGAAAAGGCTCCAGGGAGACCTGAAGAAGGGCTGTAAGGAGGAAGGGGACAGACACTTCAGCAGGGTCTGCTGTGATAGGACAAGAGGAAATGGTTTCAAACTAGAAGAGGAAAGATTCAGACTGGATGTTGATGATGGAAGGAAGGAGTTTTTTACTATTAAGAGTGGTGAAGCATTGGCACAGGTTGCCCAGATTGGTGGTGGTGTCCCATCCCTGCAGACACCCGAGGTCAGGATGGATGGGGCTCCGAGCACCTGATGGAGCTGCGGGTGTCCCTGCTCAGTGCAGGGGGCTGGACCACGTGCCTTTAAGGGTCTCTTCTGATTCTGTGTAAAGAACAACACCCAGATTTCTGCCCAGAGATCTGCGCTCAGCACTGACACCTGCCAACCACCAAACCTACCCGCAGCCGAGCTCAGAAGAAAGGTGATCCAAGCCGATACCGTTCACGTGCTTTTAGTCACGACATCATCTCATGCCATCGCGACAGCAGGACGTACCTACAGCCCCTCAGGCCGACACCCCGATGCTCACTCAGCGTCATACGAGATCGCTGAGGCTGGAGAAGCCCTCGGGACGCCGCAGCAGCCCGTCCACCCCTCTGACCCCGTCGTGCACCCGGCCTCCAGACCCCGCTCCCCACGGTTTCGGCGCGGTGCCCGCCGCCGCCGCCCGGGCAGCACGGCCGCCTCAGCCGAAGGCCGGGGCGACGGCTGCCGGCGAACAAAGCGCGGCTCCGCGGGCTGCGGGAGCGAGCCGAGCCGCGATGCCGGCGGCGGGCGGCCCTTACCTGGCTGGCGAAGTCCCTCAGGTGAGCCATGCCTGCGCGATGCGCGGGGCCGCGCGGGCGGCGCTCCTCGGCCGGCGCTCAGCTGCGGGAGACAACACGGCGGCTGTGCACGGCCCCGCCTGGCCCGCGCGGCCCCGCCGTCCCCGCTCCGCCCCCCGCTCCCCCCGCGTCCCCCACCTACGGCCCTCGTCCCCCCGGCGGAGCGCTTTGCCGCGCCATGCCGGGACCCGGCGCGCGGAGCCGCCGCCCCGCCGCCGCCCGCCCTGGGACACCGAGCTCGGCCGCGGCGCCGGGCGCGACGACGCGGCGCCTAGGGGAAGCGGGAGGGGAGGCCGCGCCGCGCTGCCTGCTGGGAGCCGTAGTTCCCGCGCCGCCCCGCGCAGCGCGGGTGCCGCCCGTACGGACTGCGTGTCCCGGCGGGCCGCGCGCGGGGCGGGCGGAGGGGCTGAGGGGAAGGGGAGGTACGGACTACGGCTCCCGTGGCGCCGCGCGGCGCCGGCTGTGCGCTGCGGTGCGGGGGTCGCAGCGGCAAGGAGCGGCCGTTTGCGCCTTGCGCTGGCTTCGTTTAGGGCGTGAAGCGCCTTGAGAAGCGCCCCTGCCCGGCAAACCGCTGCCTCTGGGAGCGGTCGGGGCTGGCGAGCGGGTTTCTGAAGCGACCCCGCTTTGTTTTTTGTCGCTGCCACCAGGTGGCGACCACGGATTGCGGCCCTGTGCCTCTGGAGCGGCGCGCGGCCCTGCTGGGCTCCGTGGTGCTGGACGAAGCACGGCTCGGTCCAGAGAGGAGCTGTGGCGCTGGCACGCCGACTGCTGAAGTGCTTTTCTGCGCTGTGCTGCTGGCGGTGAGCGGTGCAGAACAGCGCTGTGCCTGTGGTAAGCAGCTCAGCAGCGAAACTAGAGAAGGAAAGGAAAAGCACGTTGAATTTATCGCCCTCCCAGGAGCAGCTTCCAAACTGCGGGGAAGAACGCGCTTGTATGGAGGAAGCAAGGACTGGGCTTTGCCAGCAGCTTTCCTCCTCGCTGTGGTTTACGGCTGCCGTCTAGACTGGGCCCTGAGCTTCTGTTCAGCAGATGCTAGGCTGTGCCAAAACAGCCCTGCCTCAACTCGCCAGCTATGCTGACGGAGTTAAATGGGGTGTTCTTCCCCGTCAGCCTTCTTTATGGTGGAGGTTTTGAGTGCGTTACGTGAATTTAGCAAAGCAGAGTAGTGGAAGATAGCGCTCCAAACCTCGAGTGCTCGTTCAGTGCGAGGCATGGGGCTGATGAGCTCCACCCCACCTCGCAGGCACTGCTAGGCATGAGGTGACAGCTGTGTGATGGCAGCTGTGAACTTCTCCAGGCTTTAAACCTTGCTCTTGTAAGAGATGCAGGGATGACTTCAAAGAGGAACCTGTGCCTATCAAGACAGAACACACTGAGCGAGTGCTGTAGAAGCCCACTTGCTCTTATAGTTCTCCTTTTAGAGCTCCCCCAGCTGTATGGAAGCTGCAGTGGGCTGCTACAGCTCCAGAACTCTTGTTCCTGCCTGCAGACTCTATCACTACAAGTCTTGTAATACCGAGGCTCTTTCCCTGCTGATATCGTGGCTCTTAAGACTGTTTTGAGTGTTCAGCAAAGAGAAGGGCCTTTATCTCCCAGTTCTGCTGGTAAAGTGGAATAAGCAGGAGTGGCTCTTGCAGCTGTAAAGCTCCAAGTGGAGCTGACTCTGGGTTGGCTGAGCATCTTTTCCCTCCCAATGACTAATCCTCAAATTAAGCCAGGCTGCTTCCAAGCTGAGAGCACTGAGCACTTGTTCTTCCAAACCATGTTCCTGTGCAGCGGCAGAAAACAGCTGATGAAGCTGAATCCTAAACCCTCACAGACGTCGGTGCTCTGCTTAGGCAGGAATGGATACTGCTGATGTATCTGCAGGGATACTTTGCCTTCCCAGCTGGTCCCTTCTGAGTGCCCTGGGAGTCGTGTGCTGATAGCAGGAGACCCCAGGGTGTCCCTGCTTAACAGAGTGAATGATGGGAGCCAGTGATAGGGGATGAGCTGCACAGCAGCCAGCACCTGGGGACAGAGCTGGCACTCACTGAGCACTCGAAGAGACAGCCTTGTCTGGAACCACGGCACAGCTCTGGAAATTAGTGTGTCTACTCTTTGAAACAGAACAAACTGCTCTGCTGGAACCAACAGCGTGACATCGTGCTTTCATTCCCTGCCTTCTAAACTGGATATGGAGGAATCCATTTGGAGTTGTTCACTGCAGAAAATGAGGAGAAAAAGATGGCAATAGCCAGAATCAGGAAAGAAATGTGCTATAATTGCCTGCCACCGCCTGTGCAGATGGGCCAACCAGGGACAGAGCATTCAGCTCTAATTCTCATGGAACCACACAGCCCCACTCACTCTCCTGAGATGCTTCTGACCCCTTCTGAGTTCAGGGTTTCCTCTGTGAAACCTCCAAGCTTTTCATGCTATTAGACTAAAATATAACACCACATGAAACTGATTACTTGGAGATATATATTCTGAGAAATGAGCTCTCGTGGAGTGTCTCTGAGACCTTTTGTGCAAGGGAAACCCAGCAGCCCATGCTTTGTTAAGGGAGGACTCCTCTTTTCTTGCATTTGTCCAGCAACATTTTTAAACAGAATGATGCACAAAATGAATTGTTTGAGGGCACTGTTTCTCAGATGAGGATTCTGAGACAACTTTTGTGTCTTGTGTAATAAGAAGCTGCAGAGCTACTTATTCCTTTATGCATCTTTCCGATGTGGGGCTTCATGCCAGCATCAAAATTCTGTCCTTTGCTGGACCAAAAGAACCATTGGCAGCTCTGTTAATTTCTGCAAGGCTAAGTGATAATTCAGGCAAATTAGTGAATCGATCTCACACACTGCAGTGGCCTGATCTCATGGTTCCTTCTAGAAATGAAATTCTTCAATCCCAAAGATATATTTTTCCTAGCAAAACACCAGACATATGTCTGTGCCAGCAAGAAACATGGCAGTGTGTTGATTCTATCCTGGTCTGTGATTACCAGGACACGAGAAACCAGACCTTGGGTGTAGAGTTGCTTTGGGAATGTGCAAGAGAAAGCTGATTTTCTCTCAAGACTCAAGGTAAGCATTTCCCACTTCTTTTAAATCAAGAAGGTCTGCCTGTTAAATGACTCACACTGAACATCTACCCTGTGTTGTCACTTCTGGTAGAGGGGCACCTCTGTCTCTTAAACCACAGATGTTCAACAGGAAGCATGCAGGGCTGCACAGAGCCTGTCTGTCAGCCTGTCTGTTTGTCTGCAGAGGCCTCCAAGAGGAGATATGCTAGCTGCTGCAGCTGCAGTAGGAAGCCATGCAGCTGGCTGTGCTCCCTCCTTGGGCAGGCACACACAGCTTGCTGCTCTCTGATACAATCCAGTGTGTGTGACCTGACTGTTTGTGGCTTCTTTCAAATTGTCTTCACCACGAGGGATGATGCAAAGCAGCACTGCCCCTCCTGCAGAACAAATAACCGTTCACTTGCAGCTTCTTGGGCATGGCTGATGGGTTGGTGGTGGGACCTGGTGATCTCGGTGGTCTTTTCCAATCTTAATGATTGTATGATTTGATTCTGTGGTTCTGTACTGAAGCATTTGTTGGGTTTGAAAATTGCTCTGCTCGCTTCAACAGAAAGCAGTGACTTGAATGAGATACCTCCCTCCCCCAGAACTGCAGTTTTATGTATTTCTTCATTCCTTGGAAATGCTTCCCCTAATTCTAGTTTAACTGATTGACCTCTTGTGTACTGAAGACTTCAGGTTTGAGCTGGCTGGGGTTCTGGGACCATGGAAAAGGCCATTGGTGTCAGAAGCTGCTTATTCATTTCAGCAGTTGACTCAGTTCAGTAGCTGCATCAAACGTGTTCTTTTTCTTTTGTTTTGTTTTGTCTCAGGTGCTTCATGAATTCTAACAGCCTTTTCATGTTTGCTCTTTTAATTTAGCATGTAAAGACATCATTTGTTTCTATTTATCTCTAATTGCTTTTGGATCACTCTTCAGGGGGACACACACCTAGTGACATGAAGCACAAATAACACGCTAAGCAGAACACAGCATGCTTAGCACCTGCAATATGTTCAGATTTCTCATTTGTTTCAGCTATAGAATTGCTTAAGTACATAATTTTTTTCCTTTGTAGCCAAGAGGGGAAATGTAGCACTGAGCTGTGCTCACTTGTAAGTAAACAGGTCTTAATTCCTGCGAGTCGCTGAGACTCACCCTACCCGAGAAACAAATGCAAAACCAGATTAAAATCGGTGACCTCAAACGAGATTTCCTGCTTGCTGATTCTGAAATATGATTAAAATTGACTCAAATGCTTTGTTTGAAGTGGGCCCACCCTGAGCATCGTTGGCTTTGAGCACCTGGCCAGCAGTTTGCTGGCATTCCAACGTGCAGTGCCAGCTGTTGATACGTGGCAGCACTCAGGCGGGTGGCCCAGGACCAGCAGCAGCTCTTGCAGTGAGCCTGGAAAAGTGAGCAGGCTGTGCTGTGGAGCCCACTGAAGGTAGTGCTGGGGCTCCTCAGAGTTATGTTCAAATTTCCTTTCTTGCCTTTCAGAATCAGGTAGATGCTTGAGCCCAAAGCTTTCCAAGTCCAAGTAGGGGAAATTCTGGAGTTCAAAGCCAACAGATGTAAGCTAACCTTGCTTTGGGCACTCACCCTTCTGGTAGAAGAAGGAGCAGCTTTGTCCTGGCTGTTCTCCAAAAGCGATCAGGATAGCTCAGTGTCAGGTAACAAGAAGTTGTAGTCTCTTCTTTGTTTTTGTTTGTTAAGTCTCTCCCATCACAGCTCGTGAAAGCTGTAATCGTGGGAGCACTGGGAAAGCCGTACGTGGTGAGCTGTCTCTGCTCTTGCACAAGGCTCTGGTGATTACCTCCTGGCAGCATCCATCTGCCTTGTGCAATGCACCACGCAGTTCCAAATCACTGCAGCTGCACTTCTGTATGCAGAGGTGACAGTAGGGCTGTGGCTTCATGGACACTTGTCTGATGGCAAAACTGAAAGGGTTTCCTTCTGCTGCCCTGCCCAGCTCCAAAAGTCAGCAAGGGCTTAAGTTAAAAGCAGAGCTGCGTCCTGAGTATACAGAAATACTTTGAGGCATGTTTAGGACATGCAAATGTGTGCAGGGCAGACTCTCTCCTTGTTATCAGCTCCATCAGCAATCCATCTGCCTGTGTAGGACACTGCTGTGCCCCGGCACGTGTCTCTAGGCTGCACATCAATGCATCAGAGCTCATAAATGCTGCCAAGCCAGTACAGCACCCATTTGGGCTCCTGAGATGTCAGGATCAGTGCAGGCAGAGGCATCTGTCTGCCTTCACCTGTCTGCACCTGTGAAAGCATCCCTGCATGGAGGTGGGACTGGTGCCCATCCTGGGGAGCGATCGGTCGCTGCAGTGAGGCCAAGGCTCATCCTCTGCCCTTGTGCCTTAGAGACTGAAAAGGTAGAATCCTCTTTGCTCTCTTGGGGATGTTGACCTCATCCAGTGCTTTCTGCTTTTTCTATTTTAGTGGTACAGTATGTAAATACGTTGTTTGTGCTAAAAAATGAAGTTGTGTCTATTGAACCACAGCTCGGAGCTGCTCTTTTACTGTGGCTTGATACCTGAAAGGCAACGGTTGTGCTCTTCTTGGGAAATCAAATTTGGGAACAAGGGTGGAGATGATGAGGATTCAGCTCATAGCACTGCTTAGTAATAGGAAATTCATGCCAGTTTCCCTTCAATGGGGTTGTACCCCAGTCCTGGAGTACAGCATGTCTTTGTACATATGTATCTATATGTACGTATATAGGCACGTTTATAACAGGAGAGTTGTGCCTACAAACACCAGCGGTGAGCATGACAGCTAAGAGAAGAAAACACTGGTGTTAGTGATAATCTGTCAGATCCCTAAGTAATGGATTGCTTGCTAATCCTGATGAGTGTAAACCACCAGACCTGTGTACTTGAGAAGGTGAACCATCTGGAAGCTGTGGAAGGTAACATTCCCTGCAACACTGCTTCTTTGTTCTGCTATAAGACACACAGCACTGCAAGATGCTGCTCAGGAGAGGTGCTTGGGGCAATCTCCTACACAGAGTACTGCAAATTACTGCCTGGGTTCCATGAGGCTCTGAACTGAGCCCTTCAGAATTAAGGGGAAAGTTCAAAAACCCTCTGTGTTCTGCTTGGGTCCCATTATGCTGCTACTTCCATGTATTGTTTTTCTGGTGCAGCTGGCAAAATGTTTCTGTAGGAAAAGTGCTGTTTCTTCTCATCTTGCCGATCCTTTTGTTAGTGCCCCCAATGGCTTTAAACCTATGGTATGACCCCGTGGGCACTCGCAGCAATAAGGGATCCCTTCCCAACACAACCCAGGAGCTGCTGGCTAAATAGGGCAGGAAAGGCAGTGGGGAAAGACAGAATGGCTGAGATGATGCAGGAGGGTCAGGGTGACATGGTGGAAGGCTGAGGACCATTATGGTGCTGGTGCTCTGCCAGAGCAGCCCTGTTAATGAGGTGTAGTCCTGTCTCTTTTGTGCTCTTATTGTAGGAAATGAGTGCTCCAAGCTTTTCTGATCCTCCCTATCTGAGATAGATAGGCAGGAGCTGTAATGATGGAGCCAAAACACTGCCATGCCAAGGATGCCTACAATGGGAACAGTGTTTTGGGGTGAGATAAGTGTTTCAGTGCCATTTTCTGGTAGTCCTTTGCCACGAGGGATTCCCCAGTATAGGTTTAGCCTCTAAATGTTGTAGCCTAAACGTGTTATGAACAAAGGAGCTCAGCAGACACCAGCAGCTCCCTGGGCTGCAGCATTGTTCCTGCACGGCCGGCTCAGTGCTGCGTGCTGACCTTTCATGTACTATCATCTAGAGAGGCATCTCTTGGTGTGACAGCAGGCAGGGAACACGTGGGGTGGGATTGGCACCCAGGAGAGCAGGGAGGATGTGTGGCACCTGCACGCCTGCCAGAATTCTGACAAACATGATCATTAGTTAAGCAATACTGATATTTAAGCCCTCATCTTTGTTTCAGGGCTCTGCTGAATAGGAGCGGTTTAAATAGAACTTCTGTTTCAAGCCGTCAGCTGCTGTAGCTTAGGCAACATTTTTAATGATTGTTCAGCCATTAGAGTTGCAAGGGCAGAAATATGGTTGTTCAGGAGACCACAGAGTGCATTCTGCAGGGAAGGAATGGGTCAGGGATGGGCAGCTCCTGTTGGCATGGATGCAGCTTACTCACTAACCTACAGATTCTTCTTTCTTGGGCTGGTAGAATTTCTTTTGTGCAGGAAACGTTTCTGCTCAGACACAGCAGTGAGGCACTGCACAGCTGCACAGGGAGGTGGGGGTCACCATCCCTGGAGGTGTTCAGAGCCGTGGAGATGTGGCACGGAGGGACGTGGGCAGTGGGCACAGCGACATGAGGCTCAGTTGGACTTGGGGATCTTAGGGATCTTCTCCAACCTTAATGATTCTGTAATAGGAATCCATAGCTGAGGGCTGGGGGATGGCTGCAGCATGGCCTCCCCCTCCCATTCCAGCACTCCCTGCTCACTCCAGCAGCGTAGTCCCGACATCGCTCTGCAGCGAACCTCCTTAAGAGCACAGAAAGGGGAGGAGGAAGCGCAGCTCTCCGGCTCCCGCAACCCCACCTCCCGGTTATTTCATCTTCCTTACAAGGCTAAAGCTAGAAGCTTTCCTCTGCCTCTGGGTCCCTTAAAAGCAGCGCGGCGAGCCCCAGGGCTGTCAGTGGGATGTGGGGATGGGGGCACAGTGGGGCGGTGGAACCCTACACCCATTGACCCAGCTCTGCAGGAGGAGCACCGAAGCATCCCATCAGGAGACACAGAGGGGGACCAGAGCACAGCATGAGGGGTAAATATATTTTTCATTGGGAAGAGCAAAAGTAACTGGCTTTGTTTAGTCTGAAATTGGTTATTGTAAGCAGCTGTCCAACAATGAGGACCGAGAAATGCATTGGCTGACACCCGGGCAGAGCCTTAGGTCTGAGTTTGCTTCCCAGAGCAGCAGTGGGTTAGAAAGACCAAGATGAATTCAGGTGGCTGAAGAAGTTCTGGGTTTTCTCTTTAGCCATTCACACCTGGGAACATTTTTCTAGAAAGTGGTTTCCAGTTTTTTCCTGTTACTGAAGCATTTTGAATAGCAATATGTATGGTGCTCTAAAAACAGAAAAAGCTGCAGAACCAAAACCCCTTCTGAGAATGTGATAAGGACCAGGTCTTCCACCACGGCCAAGGGCCGGTGGGATATCTCAGATGTTCCTGTCTCTCTGTTCCTGTGCTGTCCATTAGTGCCATTCCTGCAGACAGATCCATGCCCCACTGTGCTGGAATGTCTCTCTGGCTGAGGTTGCTGCAGCTGGTATTTGGGATTCAGGTTTTTTTTCCAGTTTAATTGAAACAAGATGAGGTTGTCTGCGCGTCCTATGAATTGTTTCCGTGTCTGACCATCCAGTCTGTCTGCAGTGTGATTCTGGGGCTGCTGAGTGTGAATGGATAAAGGGAAAACACCTCAGTGGCTGGGAACTGCTGTGGGCCATACTGCTGGTGGGGTCGGAGCAGCCAGGGGCAGAGGATGCAGCCACTCTTGCATATATGGTACTACCAACATCAGTGTAACTGTAAGGCGTGATACCTGAATAGGAGTTCTGGAGAACTTAGAGATGCTCTTATTCAACAGGTAAAATGAAAAACTGTCCTTGGGAGAGCAGTTCCTGGGAGCTGTGACGGAGCCCTGCGGATCGTTACCTCCCTAAGGCTCAGCCCAGCCTGGAGCTGGGTGGCTTTGCTGCAAGGATGGAAGTGCTGCGTCGCTCCTCCGTCTTTGCTGCAGAGGTGATGGAGGTGTTCGACAGGTCTCCCACCGACAAGGAGCTTGTGTCCCAAGCCAAGGCTCTCTGCAGGGATTACATCAACTCGAGGCTGATCCGTGCAGGCGTCAGCTGGAGCAAACCTGAGCACAATACCCCGGTGCCTGGTGGCAAACTGGCTGAGGTGTCTGCCATCCTGCTGCGCCTGGGTGAGTCCCTGCATGTGGTGTGGGCTTGGGAATCTCTCCTGGGCAGCTCCTTGGTTTGCACGTCCTTCATCCTTTGGGTCATTGCTCAGCACTGTGGTTCTGAGCCCCAACAGCAAACGATGTTTAACTGTGTAAAATTGCATTTGTGTAAGAGTTTTGTTTCTCTCTGTAGTTTTTCTCAGCTTGGCGTTTTGAACAAGGCTTGTGGTGGTTCTCCAGGCACTGGTGGGATCCTGGCAGCTCCATGCCTGGGCTTCATCAGCAGCTCACAGAGGTGATTGCTCACCCAGCTGCAGGGATGTTTAATTAAGGTTAATGCTTAGATGTGTGTATCAAAGATTTTATAACACTGCTTTTCAGTGGCAGTGTGTTAGTGTGTCTCTTCACCTTTCCCTACCCCAGTCATTTAGCAAGACCTTTTCTTGTTTTTGGTCACTGGGGCAGCTGCAGAATCTTCCATGCTTGGGGCAGTGTACCAATCATTGATACAGGGACCTCTGCACCAAACTAAGCCTTGTGATGCAGGACAATAAGGATGGCTGTCTGTGCCCAGCAGCACAGGGCAGTGGAGACTTCTTCAATCATGGCACTTGTGGACACCCAGCAGCTGCCCTGGCAGAGCACTCAGCTGTGTTCTTGACATGGCTGTGGGAGCAGCTCTGGAGCAGTGCCTGCAGCCCAAGTATCCTCTGGCTGCTGCCCATTGCCTACCTTTGGCTTTAGGCTTCAACCTGTGTGCTCAAGTCAAGCACTCTGCTCTAGATCCCAGCACTCTGGTTCTAGGAGGTTGCTCCTCTTTGCCTGCAGGTTGGAATATCAGTTCACATTTGGCTTGGAAACTACCATTGGCATTTGCATCTGATTTAATTATACCAAAGTTCAAATAAGTCTGGTGAAGCAACTTTTAACTGAGCCCAACCAATTCAGGGCCAGACTGGTTCCCCCACTTTCTCCTCTTTCTAGTTCTTTTGGATGTTTTCCCAAATCTGTTTTTAAAGCATACATGGTTTTCTTTTGGCTGGCTTTTATTAAATTACTATTCTTTTACATATTTTCTCTCTTATGCTGAATCTTCTGTTGTTTTTGTCCATCTGTCAGCCTGGCTGCCTCTTTGTCTCCCCAGTTTTTCCTGGGCTGGGATTGAGCCAGATCTTCTGTGGGAGGCCAGGAGGACACTGAAGGGCGAGCAGGTGGCAGCCTGCGTCTGGAGGCGTCTCCTGGGTGACTCTGCTACCAATGATTCTCCTCCAGATGGAGAGGCTTGGCTGACAGTTATGGGAACTCTGCGCTTCTCTGAGCAAATTTGCTTGGAGAGAGCCATGGCTTGCTCAGTTCCCATGCAGCAAGAAGGAGGAGTTGTCCTTCTTAGTAGGATAGTCAGAGGTGGTGAAACCAAATGATACGGCCAAGAGATCTCAGACTAACCTACCACATGTGGCATAGGTCTGGTGTACCTGAACCAGAGGTTGCAGCAGCGGCAGCAGGCACTAAGCCCAGCCCAAAGCATGTCCCAGTCACCCTTCTGGGCTGGGGACAAGGCTGTGTGCTCCCTGCAGGGCCAGAGCAGCTGCTGAGGATGTAAGGAATGGTGCCTCTTATCAGCCCTGGCCATGCAGACTCAGGGTTTCCTCTTTCCTTCGCCCATGTGGAACAATGCCTCGGGCACAAAGGGCCAGAAGAATTCATTTGTGGCCTCCAGTGAAGACGGGCTCTGCTCATGTTGTGCTGAGTGCTGGGGAATAGTTCTATGAATTCAAGTTGAGCAGCTGCTGCTTAACAAACCCCTGATGGGATGATGCCTTTGTTCCTAGTTCCCATTTAATGCCATCCTCTGGGTGCTCGGTTGCCCTCTGGCTGGGAAAAGCCACCTTGGCCCTGCAGTGACATTGACTCGATGGTCCTTACGGATCCCACCCAAGTCAGGGTGCTCGAGTGACTCTACGGATGTCTAGGGGCCGTGACAGCTCTCCTCTTCCCCTGGGTCCTCCTATGCAGAAGGATGAGCATTCATCTAGATGGCCAAATGAGAACCTCTGTGCATGCAAGGCTTTGGTCCCATGCCATGCTCACATCGTGTAACGCTCCTACAGCATCTTGTTAAATATCCATGAGAGGTGAAACAATTAGAGATAGCGGTTAATGATTGTACTGGTCAGGATGGCTTGTTAGACTGCAGAGGAAAGCTGCGCTGCTGATGCTGCAGCACAAGCCTGCTAGGAGGATGTTCTCTGTTTGCTCTTGCTCTTTTTGTCTTGATCTTCAAGCTAACCTGACACCACCAATTGGGTCCCAGCTGGGGAAAAACCAACCTGGGTAGAAAGCACACCCTGTGTGTGCCAGGAACTTTGCTGGGGAAGCCAGGCAGGCAAATGGGAGTTGGGTAGGAGCTCTGCTCCGTCACTCTGTGCACAAAGAGCTGAGCTGTGAGTCTCTGCTCAGTGCAGCGTGGCTCCAGGTGGATTCCTGGTTTCTGTCAGCCTCCAGCACGCCTGAGTCACTCTCATCTCATGACTTTTTTTTGCACAGGTTGAGAAAGGGCGTATCTCCCTACAGCTCACACAGGTGTACGCACCTCTTTCTCGCTGCTGGCTTTGTTCATTTCAGACTGTGGGGAAAGAAGGGTGCGAGCGATACTGGGACAAAGGACCAAGGTGCCAGGGCTGCTTCTAAGTGACCCTGAGAGCTGTGCTGCCTGTTTTACACCAGATGGAGGGATGGTCCAAGCCGTGATTCCAGCATGCTGACCCCAAGTGCTTGCTTGCAGGGGATGAGCTGGAATACATTCGCCCCAACGTCTATCGCAACATCGCCCGCCAGCTGAACATCTCGCTGCACTCGGAGACGGTGGTGACGGATGCTTTCCTGGCCGTGGCTGCACAGATCTTCACTGCAGGTACCGCGCCCAGACAGGCAGACAGGGCTGGGGCGGGCAGGAACAGGATGGGGCCGCTGTTATGGGATGGCTGCGAGGTGGGGCCAGGTTTAGGAAAGAGCCGTGGGCAGTTTGGCAGCATGCCCTTCTGTAATGATTTAATGAGCTCCTCTGTGCTCTGTTGTTCTGGCAGGGAAGTGCCCCATTCTGTGCATCCTGGCATTTCTCGCTCGTTCTAGAAGCCGTCTCCTGCCCTGCCTCTGTAGGAGGTGGTGTTACCGCATCGCACAGGGAGTCGCTCATTCCAAGCTCCTTTGCTCACCGCTGGCAACCAGAGCAGGTTCATTACACGGGAGCCTCCCTTGTTCCAGCTCATGCTGCTGGTGCTGGGAGCCAGAGCTAACTCATCACAAGGGAGTTCCCTCTTTCTGGCTTCCTTTCCCCCAGCGACAGCCAGGGCTGCAATGGAGCCTGCTGCTTCCAGCTGCTGCCTTGTGCTCAGAGGCAGGACCGCTCTCCTCTGAGCCAGGCAAACATGGCAGGCATGTCTGAGTGTTGCCATGTCAAAGGACGGTCTGAGCTTTATTTGCCCTGAAAAACAGAGGTCAGGTTTGCAGGCATGAGTATTTGCAGCACAGGCAAGTAGGTTATCTTCTTAGCTAAGCACAGCTGACTGCATCTTTACCAGCCCACATCCCAAGTGACATGGGGAATTAAACAGAAAGCTGGATGGCTCCAGGCAGAGCAACATGCCATGTGCTGGGAGAAAGCCCTGCTGGCTGCTGGGAGCCTCACCTCATGCACTGACAGTGTGCATTTGTTGAGAAATGCACTCATTGTTCTTCAGTTCCAAGCTCAGGAGTCGCATGAGAAGCTTGAATGGTCTTAAATGTTGTGGTCTTGTTTCATTTGTTGTTGGAAGTAAAGCTGGCTATTTTATCTCTTGGCCCAAACTTGGGGGTTTTGAGGTGGTAAGGCTGCAGACTCAGTCCTTTGAGGGTGGCAATTGGGAAGCTTTGGGGATGTTGTAGGAGCCCAGGCTAAAGCTCTGCTGTGGTTGCTGGGGACTCAGTGCTGCATTAGCCTCCAGCAGGTGGTTGTGCACAGGCATGGATTTCAACCTTACATTGCTCTGCATGTTCTGGTTTCTCTTTTTTCCCATCTTTGCTTCATACCAACCAGCAGAACAGCCTGTGGTTGTGAGGTTGAGGCAGTGCTTCAGTAGGTTTTGTCAATTCATTACTGTAGCTTCTCTTGCTAGAAGGCTGCTGAATAGTGGAGGGGGAAGAGTTCACTGATTTTAACATTCATGAGTCCTAGCAGCAGTCTCAAGACTCAGCATTTAATGTTAAATCCAGCAGATCAGTGACAGCCAGACACTTCTCTTTTTTGTTTTTTTCATAGTTCAGAGGAAAGAGGCTCTTAATGGGTGAAGGAAATGAGAGAGCTCGAATGCAGCCTGAATTTTCAAGCCAGTTACCAATGACTAAAGCATCTGACCGTGTTTTTCACTGTCCAGTTTATTAAGAAAACAGCTCCAGTTTGACACTGCAGTTCCAAGACAATCTGAGGAGCCCATCAGTCACTTGCAGTGCCTGTCCAGCAATGGAATGTGAGATTTTTACCCTGTCCTGTTGAAGAGGACAGTTGCACCCCCCTGCTTAGCACCGAGGGACATGGTCAGTGGGCATGGTGGGGATGGGTTGGTGGTTGGACCAGATGACTTTAGAGGTCTTTTCCATCTTCAGTGATTCTATGGTTCTATGATTATATTGGTTTTATGGTTTTGGGTGCTGGTAAGCTCCTAATTAACAGTGCTTGGGCTGCAGTGAGCCCTGTGCCAAAAGGACCAGGGATGCATGAGGTTGCCAAGAGAACATACCTCCCTGCAGCCGGAATGTTGCTAGCAATGCACCTCACTGCTGCCACACCCTGCAGGCTTTATGAGCTCCCTGCCTTGTGTACATCCCTCTTGGCACCTTTTTCTCCACCAGAGGAGAGCATACTGAGCCTGACTCATCCTCCAAGCTGCTGAAACATAGCACTGGATTATGTTTCTCTGAGGTCTGACTGGCAGGTCAGATGGATGTGAGTGGGATGAGGGCAGTTTGTCTGAGTGCTTGGGCAGCACAGTGCTGGGGGCTGCGTGGCCACACGCTCCCCTGGGCTCGCTGACATGCAGTGGGAATGCATTCAAGAACAGCTCTTTCCTGCTAATTCATTTTCCCTTGGGCTTGCAGTGTTTACATACCTCCAGCTCCAAGGCTGGCCTTGAGGCTGCAACTTGTATTTCTTACTTTTAAAAACACTTTCTAAGTGGCTTGTCGCGTTTTCTTCTGTTCCACCTCTGTGGGCAGAAATTTTAGGGAATTTTCTGCTTTAATCACTCTTCAGGACCAATTATCTCCAGCTGGTGCAGATGCATCCAGCTGCTGCCACCCTGCCTCCAGCAGCAGTGACAGAAGCTTTGGCATGGAGGAATCAGGAGGGAGGGGATTTCCTATTCCCCTACCCCTGCAGCTCAGGTTTACCAGGAAGCAGCCTTGGGGATTGATTTGATCCTTATAGAGTGCTCTGTAAAGAAGAGGGAATGGGAATTGACCATTGAGCCCTTCACATCCATCTCTTCGACAAGCATTGCTGCCAGTTTGTGTCATTCATGTGAAGGGGAGGACTCTGTCCCTGTGCTGGGGAGGGCTTTACCCCCTGAAATATTTAGAATCCAACAGCCTGCAGGAAGGACCGTCGATCAGTGGGGAAGGCAAGAACTGAAGAAGCTTTCCCTCCATCCTTCCTTGGAGCTGGACCAACGTGTCCATACAGCAAACTGCTTTGCTGTGTATTAGAACCATAGAATCATAGAATAGCAGAGGTTGGAAAAGACACCTAAGATCCCCAAGTCCAGCCCTAGCCAATCCCACCAGGCCCGCTGCCCACATCCTTCAGTTGGTTCTGGAACACCTCCAGGAAAATAACAGCCACTTTATCAATAACTTCCTATGATCCTGGGGACAGTGCCTATGGAGAACAGAGCATCACAGGACGCTGCTGTGGGTTATTATTGCTGCTAGATTTTGATGTCGCATTAGTCATGAGTGGAAGAACTGCTTTTTTGGAACAGCAAATGGATATTTGTCAGCGTAACAAACCATTCCTGTGGCTGATATTTGAATAGTTTCTCTATAAAGCAAATTTCCCAGCATAGCCAAAGGAAATCCACATACCCCTGTGCCGTGTGCACTCAGAGGGCTGTGTTCCCAGGTTGCTGCTCCTGTTAAAATCCTGATCAGAGATTGCCAGCTGTGATGCCTGAGTGTGGAGGATTTACACCCTGTGGTGTTGGCTCAGTATGGGAATACCCTGGAGCTGGCTGGTGCCCAGAGCACAGCCCGGGCATGGATTGCCAGTGCTGCACAGAGATGGCTGCTGCTGGGACAGCATCCATGGGGCTCTTGCTGCAGGCAGGCCAGCCTGGCAGGAAGCTCTGCTTTAGGAAGATTAGATAGCTGGCTGGCACAGCTGGCTGCACTGACCTTGGTGGGACAGGTGTGAGCTGTGAAATGCTCGTGGAATTACCTCGTTGGAGATGGAGTCCAGGAGGACTCCAACTGTCTTGAACCCATAGCTCTACTTCCCTTGTTTGGTCTTTGTCATGGCAGAATGGAATGTGCAGATGCTTATTGCTTGTGTGCTCTGTCTGTCACTTTGGAACAGACTCCTCTGATCTAGAAAAAAACCAAACAGGAATGTTCGTATGTCTTTGGGTTGTATCTGTGGGCTGCTTCCTCCAAAGCTGCACATATGTGGCTAAGCAGTGGTCAAAGCATGCCCAGTTTTAATCACTTACAGAAAAGCATGCAGGACCACAGCTGCAGTCAGACTCAAACCCTCATGCTTACAAAGTGGGCACCTGTGATAGCAGAGGGTTTTGCCCTTTGATCCGTGTAAATGTGAGCACCCTCTCTTCTTTTCCCAGGCATAACATGGGGCAAGGTGGTGTCTCTCTACGCCGTGGCAGCGGGGCTGGCAGTGGACTGTGTGCGTCATGCACAGCCAGCCATGGTCCACACCATTGTGGACTGCCTGGGGGAGTTTGTCCGCAAGACCTTGGTGACGTGGCTGAAGAGGCGAGGAGGCTGGGTAAGAGATGCTGGCTGGTCTGGCTTGCTTCCCCATGGGCAGACCAGGAAACAGCCCAGTTAATGCATCTTGTAGTAGAATAACATTGAGATTGTTCCTGTGCTAGGCTCATAGCTCTGTTACCATCTCCTCACCCTGTTCTCAACAGTGTCAGCTGTTCTGGTCCCCAGCTTCCTATGCACTAATTCAATCCTCACCCACTGATGCCTCTTCTGTTCCTGCCCTGAATTTCACTGGAGCAGGCAGACAGTGAACAGGAGCCATCACCCAATGTTTGATTTCTGTGGTTCTCTCTATAGCCCATGGGAAATACAGTGTTCCTGTGGAAAACAATTTGGAGTAAGAGCTTTATTTAGGTGCTGTGGAATAGCCAGACACCTCACCAGTGACCTCTCCAGGAGCTCAAGCTGATGGCTGAGCCGTGGCAGGGTCAGAAGCAGGGTGATGTGCATGATGGGTGGCAGCTGGAAAGGTAGTGATGTCCTGATTTTGGATCCCTTGCCACCTAAGTGTCATTGCCACCTGTGGTCATCCCTGCTCTCTCTAAAGCTGCCACCTTGGGGCCAGTGGGCTGATGGGCTGGGCTGAAGATAACCATTGTACTGAATGCCCCAGCTTGTTTCATTTTGTGTCTGCACAAATAATTGTGCTGAGGTACTGGAGAGGATGCCCTGGGAAAGAACTCGCCAAGCTGCACTGTTCCTGTACCTAAAATCCCCACCTCAGCCCATCAGTGAGGTTTATTCTGAGCACCTGTGGGGCTGGTTGAAATGTTTTCTCTGAAACAGTTTTTTCCTTTGGGGGGGAGAAAAAAAAAATAGTTTCCTTAAAATTGGAATGTTGCATAGGAATGTGTTCCCTCTAGTTTCCAAACTAAGTTGCTTCCTTGTTCTGGTGAACCATGTACGTTCAGATAAGTTAACATCTTGTTTTAATTTTTGTGGTGTGTTGTTAGACTTCAAAACAAAGAGTTTGATAGTTCCAAATGGATATTTTTGGAAAGTCTGTTGCATAGCACGCAAGCCACGGAGCCCATCCTCTGCCCAGAACGGGCTCTCAGCAGCTGAGGAGCAGAGCCCTGTCCTTATCTGCTCCTGGTGCAGCCATTTCTACTCGAGTGCCATTCCATTTGCCCTGGTGCTGCTGAAGCCATGCTGCTTGCTCTCAGGATCCGGCCCTAGGAAAGGGAAGCCCTTGATCAGACAAGAAAGCTGTGAAAGCTGCTGGCTGGTGCTGATTGCCTCCTGTTGTAAGCACACTTATCAGCAGCTCTGGGCTGCACAGACGAGATAGCTTCCCTCCAGAAACAAGTGGCTCCTTCAGCTGAGGGGAAAGTCTCCTCATCCCTGTGCCTTTGTGCTGTGTTTCTCTGAATGCTGTTCCTCTCATCTAGGCACTGCAGCGTGACATTTTCCAGCCCTGTTCCCTGAAGGGCCAGACGAAGTGGCTCTGTGTTGGAGCCCCTTTCATCTGCTGCCTGACCTCACTGCTGTTGATTTGTCTTGGCCTGGCGTCCGCCTTTCCTCTGTGCACATGGCCCCCCCACACACCTGCTTGGGCTGCCAAGAGGAACCTCTGTGCTCCAGGCTGTGCCAGGAGAGCCTCTGCTCAGCAGTAGGGGCCCATATGATCTATTACGGCCCCACAGTCCCATATTTTATAGGGTGGAGAAGGCCTCTAACTGCCATGGTCCAACACCACACAAGCCCAACACCACTTAGGAGAAAGAAAAAACATTTAACTCATGGGGGTACCATCTCTTCCCAAGGAGCGTTCGCAGCCTCAGCAGTGGCTTTGCAGGGGAGTAGAAAGGTTTTTTAGCAGCTGCTATGGATGTTTGCTCCAAAGAAGAGCTTGAGACCTGAACTTGTTCAATGAATAAATAACAGGCAAAGATCAAACTGTCACTGTGGCAGCTTATCAGTGCCTCACAAAGGCCTGTTTAATTAAGCGGCTTTGAAATTTTCAGTTTCAGTGCCTTATCTGGTATGCTTTGTTTGGATTACAATAACCAAGGCAATTGTTAAACAGCTGAGCAGTTGTGTTTATCTAAGTGAGCACAGTACCAGGCTCAAGGTGCTGCTGAGCATGGCTCCTCTCAGCTGGCCACAAAGAGCTCATTACATCAGCACAGAGCAGGTGATGCTCATCTCACATCAGCCATCTCTGTAGCTGCCACTCACCAGGTGTATTCACCCAGCACTGATTGCCATGAGGCTCTGGCTTACAGGGAGCCGTGGGCTCTGCTGGCACTGAGTGTCAAGACTTTTACAGCTGCAGCATTTCCCTACCTTGCTATTCACCCCAGGAATTCCCCATACTGATTCAGCTTCCTGCTGCTATCCACTCCTCCCTTCTCAAGCCATCTCTCCTTGCTGGGTGTGTATGAGCTCAGAGACCCCAAAGCAGCATGGTAACGCAGCATGCCAGCCTTCAGGCTTCCTGGGGCTTCTATTATCAGACCTTCCACACGTAGATGATTTTGGTATCAGTTAACGATGCTGTGTTCACTTTGTCCCTGTGTCTACCCTCTTGTTTTCTTCTAATTATTGCCAAGATTGCTCAAGTGTGTCTCACTGGCAACTTGAATGCAGGTGGGAACACTGGAAGAGATTATTGGGATGTTCAGTGATCCTTGTTTCTCTCTTCAAGGAGAGCTGCACTCTTCTCAGTCATAGGATCACAGAATGATTTGAGTTGGAAGGGACTTTACTCAGGGCAACAGTGCCAGGGTCTCACCATCCCCTGAGTAAATAATTTTTGCCTAACATCTGACCTAAGTCTCCCCTCTCTTAGTTTAAAACCATTCCCCCTTGTCTTATCAATATCAGATTGTGCAAAAAGCTCGCTCCTGCTTTTATGCTCCCTTCAACTACTTAAAGGACACAATCAGGTCTCCCCATAGCCTTCTCTTCTCTAAGCTTAACAAGCCCAGCTCCTTCAGCCTGTCTTTATAGGATAGGTTTTCCAGCCCTCTGATCATTTTTGTGGCTCTCCTCTGGACCTCCTTTAACAGCTCTGCATCCGTCATCTTCTGGGGCCTCAGGACTGGACATAGTACTCCAGTCAGAGGAGGGCTGGTTGCCAGGCCACGGTGTAAAGAGAAAGCTGTGAGGCCAATGGATATTTGCCCTCCTTGTCTCTCAGTTTTGGTTCACTTTTGCCACCCTACAGTCCCTGGTATATCTGAAAACCTCATCAAACTGATACGGTAACAGTGCGCCCTGTGTCACAGAGCTGCAGCCCATAGTTCCTTCTGCTTGGCTGATGTTTAACCACAACACAAATTTTGCAGGCAAAATTGCAGGTAAGCAAATGAAAATTTGCTTACCCCTCCTGGAAGATGTAACTTTCTATCCGCTTCTGTCCTGTTCGCTTTACCCTCCAGATATTTTCTGCTCTCTCCTCCCCGTCCCAGCTGAGATCAAATCTCCATGAATTAACTGCATTGTTATTTCTGTTCATCACTGGCTGCCATTCCTGTCAATACCTGACAGTGGCTGCCCAGCAATCCATACCTCTGGCCCGTGTGCCGGGCAGCACCGCAGCCAGCAGACACATTCCCACAAACAAAGCTTGCATTGCTCGTGATTTAAATCATGGGTTTACTTCCTTGAACGAGTTCCAAATAAAACATTAAGGCAAGAGAAAAAGTGCAAGCAACTTGAGCTGATATTAAACAGGACAACCTCAGGGAAGCATCGTGCTTTGCAGAAAGGGATGGGAAGGCTGTTATTGCCAAGGCTTCTCCTGGGAAAGGGAGGAAAGTTTCTTTTATTTTGCTGTTGAAAATGGAAATGCTTGCTGATCCTCCTGTAGCATTCCTTTCCCCAGGCGTGGCTTGTTTTGAGGTGCACAGTGGCCGGGTGGGTCTGGGCATGGCCACTGACCTCTGCTCCCCCTCCTCAGGCAGACATCACCAAGTGCGTGGTGAGCACCGACCCCAGTCTCCGCTCACACTGGCTCGTGGCCGCCGTCTGCAGCTTTGGGCACTTCCTCAAGGCCATCTTCTTCGTGTTGCTGCCTGAAAGATGAGTCCCACTGCCCCGTGCCCTGTCTCCTCCCCCACTCCAGAAGCAGTGGCCGTGGGCTCTGAAGAGGAGGAAGAGAAGAACTGGTACAGACACAACTTGTTCTCCTCTCCCTTAGCTGGTGGCAGCTGATGGACTTCATTCTCCTTTGATGGCCGCAGGAGCCTCTCCCACCATTTATGTCCCAGGAGACTTGTTTCCCATGGGGACCAGAGGAGGAAAGAGCTACAATTTGAATTGGAATGGAAAGAAGAGAGAAGGAGCAGCCCTCCCTCACTGCATGCAATCCCCTTTCAGTCTTCAGACTCGCCTTGTGTCACTTCCTGTTGCTGTGTTTTGCTAAGACTCCATCTCCTCCTCGCTCCCTGGCTCTGTGTCATTGGGCTCTCCCCACAGCACAGCGTGGCAGAGGACACCATGCTGTGATGGGATTTGCATGGGATGAAACCAAATGTGCCATCATTAGATGCTTCCCTCTCTGACCTTCCTTGGGAAATGCATTTTGTGGTGTGTGTGCAGGGCAGCTGCATGGGATGCAGTTAGCAAGGACGCTACTCTGACCTCTTACTGAGCCCACATGCATCACATCAAACAAGGGACTGAGCAACAACTCAGGTTGGAATTTTGCAGTGAAGGCAAAGCTCAGTGTGTAGGTGGGACAGGTGAGATAAGAGAAGTAGTAAGAGAGCTGCCTGGTTTTACGAAGGGGAAAGCTGTGTCAAAAGCAACTGTTTTATATTTCTCCTTTATTGTCTTCAGGAGTACAGCCTATAGTCCTCTTTGTATTGTACAATAAAAGAAAGTAGGTGTTGTTTATTGTAAAGGGTAATGTATTTGTTTCCGAAGTTAAAAATTCCAAAAAAGGCCAAAACAGTGCAGAGACGAACTCTGGAGCTTTGCTAAAAATACTCCAGCATTTCCCCTGGTAGAAGATGTTAATGTGTTAAAAGCACCACCCGTCTGCTTCGTGTGGGGGTTTGGCCCATGGTGTGGCCATGTCACAAGTGTTTGTTCCAGGGACAGGTGAGCTGTTCTTGCACAACCAGAGTGGATGCAGTGTATATGGTGAGCTGAGCTAACCACACTGAGACACAGAGAGCAATAACTGCAGTGGAAGCAGACTGCTAGGAGGATGCAGCTTCTTTGTCTCAAAGAAGCTTACTAAAACCAGATTTGTCCTTCCTGGAAGAACCTTGGCTGTGTGTTACTTGGACTTAGACAGCTCTGCAGCTGGTAAAGTGCAGCCCACCTTGTCATGCCTTGTGCTTTATGGAGGGTGGGTGAGCTCATGGAGCCAGCATGATCACACTGCAACTGCAGAGACCTTCCTCAGTTTGGATGCTAGTTTGAAATGTAATGCTTTAGGCTATGACTGCTTTTAGAATAAACAAGGGATATCAGAGGGACCAACAAATAACATCAAGAGTTAAAGGCACCAGTTAAGTCAGTTTGAGAAAAAGATAAGAATGATAAGCCAAAGAAAGCAGCATTGCTGGAAAGGAATGTGCGTGGGTGGGAAGGGGCTGCACACCAGGCAGACAGCAATTCCATCTGGAAGCTGCAGACAGCAAAAGGCTGAGGAAGATCCCTGCAAGCAGGTCTCAGTCCTTCACCTGCAGCAAAATGCAGCATCACTCACATCCTGGGTGCTGTGGAGGATGTGGATTCCCAGTGATAATCTGTGGTTTTTGAGAGCTGAATGCACAATATATGGCTGGGCAAGTGGTGTGCAGAGAGGCTGGAGCAGCCTATTCTCTGGGCTTGTGCTCTTCCAGGCAGACTTCTCCAGTCTGCTTCTTTCTTTTCCCATTTGCTAATATTTGTGCAGACTGGAGTCAGCTTGTCCCATGTCTGTTAAGCCAGGAAAATGCTTCCAGAGTCCTATGGGCTCTCCTTGTGGGACAACCATGCAGTGTACAGCCAGGGGAGCCCTGAGCTACTAGCTCTTAAACCACAATGGCTCTTAAACTATATCCCTAACTCAGCCCAAATTTGGGGGCTGTAAGAGGGTGTCTGCATCTGCTCCTGTATGATTTCTCACTCCCTGTGCAACAACCGCATTGACACCAGTCTTCTTACCAAAACAAACAGCAAGCAGTACTGTTCGTGCTCTCGTGCATTTCTAAGCAGTGGTCTCAAGCCTGCTTTAGCTGGGTATTTATACTGTGTTCAGCTCTACTTGTAATATTTAGGCATTTCAGAGTACTTCCAGAGGTCCTTGACAATCTCAACAAGTCTGTGGTTCTGTGGTTTCTTATCCTTTTTAGTCCTACCTGATGGAGGCACGGAGTTGGTTGTTTATCACCCCAGTAAACACCTTCCTTTTATGTGATGGGTAAAGATCTTGGAATTGTGTTGAATTTATTTAGCAGCTGAGGAAAAGGACACCATTTGTGGAAGCTGGAAGAGGAAGAACTAGGTAACATGGCTGCCCCTCACCAGCTCCTGCATTCCCTGTGCTCACATAAAGTGCTGTGAAGTGCTGCTGCCTTGCTGCCACACTGAAATGGGCTTAGGCTATTGTTCTGGGGGGTGTGGGAGCTGGCCAGACAATAGCAGGAGGAGGGAGAAAGGGCTGCAGTGGGGAAACAGCACTCAGTCAATGGAAATATTTGTTTTATCAGAACGGTAGAGAATAGAAAAGCTATCTTGGCTGGGGTGTTCCAGTGACAGGCACTCAGCAATGCTTATCGTGTCCTAGAGCTGACATTGCTTGAGACACAGCCTCACTTACACGGTCCCTGGTCAAACACTGGCACTTGACTGACCTTCTTCAAAGTGCCAGGAGGAACTGAAGTGGTCTCACAGTTGCCCAGATGCCATCACGTGGTCCTGCACTGCCATTTCTCTTGTACATGGAAAGAAAACAACCTGTGAAGCTATTAATTTATCAGACTTGCATCTGTATTTTATACTGAAGTTCAAAACAATACTCAGGGAGTGACATCAGTGTTTTCTGCAAAATTGAAGTACCAAACTTTCCCGTTTTCAGTCTTGTTGTTTGGACCTTGAGAAAAAAAAGTCTGTCTCATTTTCTATGATTCTTCTTTTAGTGTGCAAGCTCCTTGTGTGGATCTTGTGTGCAATTAAGTTGAAGATGAAGCAGGTCTCGAGTCTCTCAGGTGGCTTTCTGAGAAGATCAGGCCCCCGAGTTGTTCCGATGGCCTTGCCAAGAGGTTTCTTTACATGCCTCTCACCCACATGTGGTTCCTTGAATTCCATTTCTTCACTGATACTGTTTTTCTGTCAATCTAGATTTTTGATAGCCATAAATTTGCCATGGCTTAATTATTTTCTTAGGGCAACATGAAAACAATACATTTCACCACACCAAAGACAAGGAAACAGCAACTTAATATATTGCTGGCAGAGTCTATAAATTTCTTTTATCCAAGTGGTTTGACAGATGGAGTTTAAATACTCCCTTAGAAAAGCCTGTAACCTCTTCAACTCTAAACATTTTGACCCACTGGGATTATGAGCCTGCAGCAGAGCTAAACAGAGTGATCCTCAGCTGAACTTTACACCACCGTGCAAGACCTGGAAGCTCACTGCACGTTCAAGCAGAGTCTGTGGGAAATAGTGTACTCCTGGGTCAACCACACGACTGACCCAGAGGGCGTCCAGGCAAGGTCATATAAAAAAGACTTCCCTTTCACAAGAAAAAAAAATTAAAAAATGTGTTGGGAAAATGATTTCCAACTTCCTTACTAACGTATTTCAGACTTCAATTTCAGAAGAAACTTTGTTTCAACCTTGGCCCAAGCTAATGATAGCACTACAGCTTTCATTCTCCATCATAGAATCATAGAATCATTGAAGTTGGAAAAGACCTCTAAGACCATCAGGTCCAACCATTGACCTACCACCAATATTGCCCACTAAACCACGTCCCTCAGTGCCACATCTCCACTGCTCTGGAACACCTCCAGAGATGGTGACTCCATCACCTCCCTGGACAGCCCATGCCGGTGCCCCAGAGAAGTTTTTCCTAATATTCACCCTGAACCTGGTACAGCTTAAGGTCATCAGCTCTCATCCCATTGGTAACCCAGTTGACCTCTGTTTTGTCACAACCTCCTCTCAGGGAGTTGTAGAGAGCAGTGAGGTTTCCTCTGAGCCTTCTTTTCTCCAGACTACCCACCTCAGCTCCCTCAGCCGTTCCCCATAACACTTGTACTCCAGACCTTTGCTGCCATATCTCTACTTTTGTCAGAGCTTGGATGGCTAAAGCTGAGCTCAGAACAAAGGGCTAAAGAAACCAATCTATTTTTTCCACTGCTGGTCCTATCTCATGACCTTCTCTTAAACTTGTATTATTCCACACCGAAGCTAGATAAGGTGAGTTCCCACCTCCAGAATGCTCCATCCCATACTGGAATGTGACCTTGATCCCAAGTCCCTTCCAGTCCACTGAATGGCATGCTAGAGGACTGTGAGGTACTGAGAGCTTTGTCGTCACTGATCTGCTGGGAGGCAAGAGGATGGGCAGGACAAGCCCCACACCAGCTCTTGGTCCCCAGCACAGCCAAGAAGAGGAACTGCAAGGTTGAATCTGAAGCGCTCTCAGTTTCACGACGTCACCTCTTTGCACCTCATGTGACAGTGCTGTGCTGTGGTCAACACAGAGGCGGTTTTGTTCCCGTTTCCCACCAGAATTAAGCCTGATTTTTCTAGTAATCTGAAGATTTAAAAAAAAAAAAAAAAAAGCCTTTTATTTTAATCTCATTGGCACTTCAAAGGAAAATTTGAATCATCTCTAAGCTGCTAGAACATTGCTCTCAGTTCCTCAGCCAGGAGATACTAAGAGTGCCTTCTGAAGCCTGGCAACCTTCCACAAGCAAAATCCCTGTCCTGTTTGGTGCTGGATGGGCTGTCAGAGCTCCTAGGGACTGATGCCCGACCCCATGGCCATCCCAGTAACCCGGCGGGCTGCTTTCTGTCCCAAAGGATGCAGAGGGGAGGCTTCATGGCAGCCTACATCTCCGAGCTGCCCGATCTCAAGGAGCATTTGGACACGGCTCTCACACATACAGTTCGCCTTGGTGATCCTTGTGGGTCCTTTCCAACTCAGGATATTCCATGATTCTGTAAGTTATGCAGGAGAGAGCATGACTGGCGCTTGTGCTCACAGCATAGGCACTTGTTTGCTGTTGGCACTCTCTGGGCTGGTGCATGCTGCAAGCCATGGGGTTATGGCTGATGCTAAATTATCCAAAGCTGTGAAAAGATGCTTCGAATGTCTGTGTCCTTGGTTTTTATGGCTTAACTGGAGAACGAGAACTGTGCTGCTAAAAATACTTACATGTTCAGTGTAGCATTCTGTCTCTGAGGGAGAGCAATGGCCTCACAAAGTGAAGCCAAAGCTGTATATTATTACAAGCAATAAACCTACTGGAGTCTGTAGCTGGCGTGCTCTAAATTACGAGCCAGCCTTTCCAAAGCCTACAGCACAGAGGTGGGAAGACTGGAAAAGTAGCACAGTAGCTTTGCTTAAATTCAAGCAGACTAATTAAGGGAAAAGAAATCAATTGAGTAGCATGCTCTGTATTATTCTGAGAGGGCGTTCACACACCTGAGGGCACAGCAGCCCCCATCACCCTGCACCTCAGCCCTTCAGCCCATTGCTGCATGCCAGCACAAAGGGGACGTCTTGGGGACACCAGGAGCCTGGGCTGACAACGTGCTGAGCAAGATTGATTTGCTGCTACTAACATCAGCCCATTTAGGAATTTGTGAAAGGTGAGGCACTGAGGGAAAGTGAAAAGAGTTGAGGAGCACAGCGTGGTCAAAGAGTGTCCATGGATTCACAGCGTGATTTCC